CCCCCCGTGTTGTGGGGGATGGGACACGGCCACCGTAGTGGTGCAAGGGGGACATGGCCACCAGAACCCCCCCCCTTCCCGCTCCCCACCCTCCTCTCTTTCCCTGTTGCCTCCCCCTTCCTGCCAGCTGTTGTTGGGGTGGGCGGGGGTGGAGGGGCAGCCCCCTCACTTCCTCTGTCTGTAATGCTCTGGGCTCTCTCAGCGGCGCATGCACAGTTAGCCCAGAGTGTTATGGACGGACAGACAGACAGACTGACGAAGGCTTTTATTATATTAGAATGACTCATGCTAAAAAAGAAAAGTGTGTTTTACAATTTTGCCAAAAGTAAGATTTTTAGTTAGGATGTGAGAGGTAAATGAGTGATAAAAAATAAAGAAGGCTCGATTTCTCCAGCTTTTGCTGTACCCAAACCATGCAAAGCTACTTTTGCTGTATTAGTAAAAAATGACTGATTGACTGAGAGCAGATAAAATCTACAGGTTAGAATACCAAAACTCAGTTCTGCACAATTATTAATTCAGACAGCTATACTTACCCGCTACAATTCTCTGGATAAGAAAGCTAAAGTTCTGAGCTAAAATGATATCAAAGGAATATGCCTGATCCTTCACCTGTTAGATAAACAAGGGAACCTGAATGCAGCATATCCTTGAATAGGATATCTGAGTTTTAGGTTAAAAGGAACTAATTCTAAAAACAAGTTAAATTGAAAAGGGTTTTTTTTATTAATATGTTGCCATTGTTTTGCTCCTTGACTTCTTTCCACACCAGATTATGTATCTTGCTACTGCAGACTGAGAATGTCACATCTTTTAACTTTATTGCATTGGATGACTGGAACTTACCATGTTGCATTTCAACAAGGGAAAGGCTGAAAATCTGCTGGACTATGCTTAGACGGAGTTTACCATCACAGAGAATAACAGCCCGCTTTTCATCTGCACCACTTCTAGAAGGCTGCTTCTGCAAATTTAAGAAACTGTTAAATCTAGCAAGGCCTGTTTCCATCAGAGACTTAAATATGGTAAACCACAGTCACACACCTTTGTTAAGAAGAGTACCTTTTGCAAATAGCAAACACTATGTTGGTTTGTCAGTTGATTTGCAAGGAGTACATTTTAAAATCTTTAAATATAATCTAGTCAGGGGTGTCCATTTTAAAAATAGCTGGGGGCCACACACTCTACAGGCCATATGAGGGCAAGGCCCCGAGGCTGTGAGGACACCAACCCAGCTGCACTGTGTTGCTGCACAGCCCTGGACTCACACGCTGCACAGTGGCAGTCAGAGAGGTGGAGCCCAGAACAATAAGGGGAGCTGTGACTGAGTAAAAGACTATATGTTGCCTGTGTGCTGCCAACTGGACAGTCCTAGTGAAGACTACCTTCAATAATCACTGCCTTGAAGATTTAAAATCCAAATAGTCTTACAGATCCTGTCCCGTATACATGGAGCCAAATGGTTTCCAATCTACCCCAAAATAAATTGGTACCCAAGTCTATATAGCTGAGTGAATAATTCTCTTCTGCATGAATAACTGGTGAACTGGAAGAATTCCCTGAGAACCCTGAATAATGTCTCTGGTCACGGCAAACATCACGAGGGAAGACCTATACAAAATAAAATGGGATACTTATGTTTCATGGAGGAGGGCAGTGTATGAAGAGCTTATCTCTTCGGCTCAGCAACTACCAATGCCCCCAAAGCCATTTTGATGCATCTGTGTGCACTTATGGGGATTCACATTTGGCTTTCCTCAACAATCGTCATCACACAGCTTGTTATCTGGGTAGTGCAGATCCAAACTCTAGCAACTGACTCTGAATATGGCACTGTCTATATCTGAAGCGTTTCCATATTTGACACGCATACTTTGTCATCCTTTTATTGAGGGACTGCCAATGATGATGACATATAGTTTGCAGACAAAAAGCTATATTATTGTTGGGCCTTCAAACTGAACTTGGGACCTGACAGTCAAACTGGGCATTTTTCTTGCCCCAAATGGTCTTCAGCAAAAAAATAAATAAAATTTGTAGGCTAAATTATTTACACTTGTGCAACCTCCTTCCAACTTAATGAGCCATTTTGTTGACCAGAGACAAGGACCCCACTCATTTCTTCAGCAACTACACAATGCTAAGAAAGGCAAAAATACAGTGAAAAACATTTCCTACTCAAAGCAGCAAACTTTGCTTCTAAATAAACAAGCAACAGATCTGATGAAAAATCATCAGCACTTTTATATTTGCTTTCAGCAGCGTACCAAACATTAAATTCAGATTAAATTAAATATTTACAATGTGGAACAACTGAGACAAGAAGAGGATCAGACCCTGGCACATAAGGGAGTGGCCACTACCAAAAGGAGGAAGAATTATTCCTAAGAACAGCAAAGGACAAAAGGACATAGACAAAGGATGTTAACTGAAAGGTAAAGTCACTTTTTTTTTTTTTTTTTAAACATAATTGAGAACTGGAACCATCTTCTGAAAGGAAACAAAAAATATAGCTAGTGGACTTTGAGCCATAGCTTGATAATCAGATACTTGAAATTGTGTAGACAAGAAAGTTAGGAACAACTCCCCCCACCCAGTAAAAGAAATCAAAAAGGCACTCAGCAGAAGGATTTCTAGTGGAGCACTTCTGATTGTATTGTTTCTATTCAAAGTCTTAATTCAAACCGGGCAAGTGTCAGTATCAGATAAAACAGGTCTCAGATCCCAAATTGTTTAAATTCTTAGAAACTGAGTATAGGAACTAGAGGCTGAAAGCTGCATCCACAGATGGTTTACCTTTCGAGAATTTGTAAATCAGTTCAGTGCCTTTCTCCCGAGAGAGCACCAACCTCTTATAATTACTTCATCCTAAGACCCTGATCCTGCATGTGTGGGACCAGACCCTGAAGTATGAGACCACACGTGCATAAGGGCACCCTGCACAGATCCAATTGCTATCTTCTCCCAGGCTCAGATCCTGCCAGGGGGAGGTGGCAGATATTTAAAAATATGGATCCTATACGATTTACCTTCTTTTATGCCTGCGGAAGAATGGAACTATATGCGGACTTTATTCGCAGTAAACTATATCATTAGCCTTCTTTTTAAAAATAGATCTCTGTCTGTGCCACCAGTGAAAATACAAAATGGATGAAAACATCAAGGTAACATTTTTTAAATGGCAACATTTCTTGTTTAGAGTCCCAAGAACTGTTTGAAATCTTTCCCTCTCTTCATTTCATTTCAGAGAAATAAATAAATAAAATGACAGACAACTTTGGTAGAACCATAGACAGAGACTGGTACACAAATCAAGTGAAGCATTTCTACAGACCTTAAAAGGCCCAACCCTTATTGTTTTAGGGATTAGAAATGAGGGCTCCAACTGAACCTAATGGGATTATACTTGTGTAAAGCTAAACTGGTGAGTGACAGGGGCTGCTTCCTAACCTGACATGAACTCTTGCAGAGTTGCACATTTTTGATATCCACAATCTTAAAAAACATACCCAGAACAGGTTTTATACTAAGCTTCCAACAAAGTTACCTGAAAAATGATGTTAACAAAAGCCGGCTCCTGAGAAGATGGATACACTGGAAGACATTTCTTCCCAGATTTTAGCAGCTCTGTTAGCTCCAAAAGGTGGTTCTGTAATTCTGTAAAGCTGCCACATAATCCGTCTATGTTTTTAGATAAGTAACTTACTTCCTTTTCACTTAGCAAGAAATTATTTTTAGACAAATTTGAAATTTCAGGAACTTCATCCACATGTATTTTTGGAGATACTGGTCTACTGGAAAACGTAGTAGGTGTCCCATGCAGGGCTGAGGGTCGATTATTTGGCTCAACTACCAAAGTTTCCACAGTGGTGGGAAAATCCACAGAAATCTTCTTTTCTCTGAGCTCACTCACACTTGACAAAAGGCTTTTCTCATAGACCGGGCTCTTAATTTCTTCAATGAGTTTTTTTCTGCTGTTAGGAGACTGAATAATACCCTGACCTGGTATCAGGAGTCCATTACTCAGAGGGTGGATTTCTGCTGGGAGATTTTCCGGTGGCCCTCTTTTCACAGGCGTATTTAAAAAGGCATTAGAATTGGGGCTATTACTAGCAGCAGCAGATGCTGAAGAAGCATTTTCAAAGATTATTTCTTTGATCATCAGACGGATGCTGTACTTGTCCGACCTTGAAGATGGAAGAAATGCAGGATCTGTGAATTTCTGCTTTCCAACCAAAATAAGTAATAACTTATAGGTTAAGAAACATAAACCCTTTGGCTTTTCACTTTTCTCAAGCTGAATTTGTTGGATATTGGGTAAATTAGATGAAGTCAATGAATAGACTAAAATAATATTACAAGTATTGGAGGCTACTGATACAGTTTGTGTTTTAGGATCAAAAGCCATTATGTCAGGGACCAGAATGCCTGGGATGCTGACCTTCTTGGTAGTGGTAACCCTTCTTTCAAAAGTCACCAGGATGAGGTGTGAAGAATCTTGGCCACTTCCTGTTAAATAGTCCTTGACCCTCAGGTGAATAAAAGGACTTGAATCAGGTCTTTCTCTGCTGCAAAAGATATGGGTTAGATCCACAGGGACAGATGGACAAGGTATTGAGGTAACTGGCACAAGTTTCTCTGCCTCTAACATTTTTTTGCCCACATCCATGGAGAACTCTTCATCAGCACACAAAGTGGACTGTGAAGGAAAAGACTCTATTTCCATGCTAGCTGGGACTTCAAATGCAATGCCTGCATTCAAGCCACAAATCTTATCTAGTGGAAGCTCAGTAGTAACAGCAACTTGAGAATTCAAAGTAGATTCTATAGCACAGATGTAGCCTCCCACATCAAATATGGGGCAAAAGGAGCAAGCGTTTAAAGTCTTCTGAGTGTCATCCCATGTGTAGGAATGAAGGGCACTGCCTATGCCAACCACCAAGCGATTGCCCTCCTTAGTCCAACAAGCACAGTGGATTAGACCACTACCTTTGATGTCAGCTTTTATTCTGGAGTTGTTGAGACGTACTGAGTGTAAGACTGAGACATCCCTTGTAGTAAGCACAGCCAAGATCTCCTTCTTCGGGTGCCACACACAACCTTGTGGAAGCACTGGAAATGGCTCACCAGTTTCACAAATCTGAGAAACCAAGAGTTTATTTCTTTCTGCAATGTTATAACACAGCTGCCAAACTGTGATGTGTTTCTTATGCTGAACAGCCAGCAGAGCTGGGGCATCTGCAGCACATGGACCCCAGTAAAGCCCATGGACATGCTCAAACTGACCAACAACACTCGAGTCACCAAACCTTGGTTCTCCATTATGAAGGTGTAAAGCAGTCAGTATCACTTGCTTCCCATCTGTCCAGGCTATACCATGCACAGGATGTATGGCCTGACACAAGGCATTAAGACCAGTTCTCAGAAGTTTTGCCTTTCCAAGCTCCATTCTTTCTAATGAGGGACATCTGTAAATATCAGAAACAAAGCATGCATTATTCTGGAGACTTTGATTATAATTCTACAGTTAACAAAACAAAATAAAACCACTTATTCTTTTCAATAAGAGTGACCTCATTAGGCCATCTCCCCTATCCGCCCCTGTCAGAGCAGGATCGTTCCATTCAGTACCTTTTCTAGTACTTGTATTGTATAGGGAAAAGTTCTGATACTCTCTTGAACTCCACCCACAATCACAAGTCAGCCTTCATGATGACTCCAAGTTCAAACACCACATTTTGTCAAAAAAATCTCTCAGATTCAGTCTCCTAGCTGCACCCTTTTTGCTATCCCTCAGCTTAGCTTTATTCACTCCTGGTAATTTTTTTTAAAACAAGTTTAAGATTCTGAGGAAAGGAAGAAGTGAGGGCAACAGAGTAATGCTGACGACGTAAACAAGCTGGACTTCAAACACTCGGAATTTGTGGTGAGGTCCCACAGGAAGGAATAATAAGGGAAAGGGAGTTCAGGAGAGCTGGTAGTTTCTGAAGGAGATCGTACTAAAGGCACAAAGCCAAATATCCAGCTGAGGGGCCTGATAGGAAGCATGACAGGACACCACTGTGCATGAATCCTCAATTAGTTGAAAATAAAAAAGCAATGGTACAAAAATTGAAAATCAAAAGTCTTAAGGACAAGTATAAAAGAACAGCACATGCATGTACAGACAATGGGCTTGATGCAATAATGGACATGGGTGCCAAAATATTACTTATATAAAGCTTAAATCATAAACTACAATCCCCCCTCCGCCCCCACTCAACTAGTGTCTAGCCATGAAGTACCTGCACTTTACAGGTATCTCATCTTCTGACTGTGAAGCATCCTTGGCACTTAGGATTGCCCCAAAAGCTTGGCACCCTAAGCCCAACTGGAATCCTCAAACTAAACATTAATTTACCTAAGACACTATTTCCAATAGCCATCTTCCAAATATGTCAAGCACACCTCAATAGGATCAGGTTCCGCATAAAAGATGATTGTGGCTTCTTTCTTTTAAAAAAAGAGAGACAGAAGAGAGAGCACAAGGGATAGCACGACTTGGAAGGGGATGGGGCAGTTACCTAAGAAATCAGAGTCCTGGATTCCAAACCTCCTTGAAAGACAGATTATGAATTTTATTTAATCACTGTTTACTATAAAATACATAATCAGTCCTGGAAACAGGGGAAGAACCCAAGTGTTCTGCTCATCCAGGTGGGTGCCACTTTTGAGACCTTGGATGCCAGCATGCTGAGAATGGCCCCTGGGGAAGTCCCAGCACAGCCTCTCTGACATGTTTTGGGGTATGGAACCTATGAGAGGAGCAGGTGGGTTGTGTGGGGTCAGGGACATCCTGGTTATGGCATGCTGCTGTTGCTGCTACTGCCTTTAGGAAAGAAAAATCAGGTGCACAAATAAAAACCTGGAAATAATTGACAAGGTAGCAGGACTGCACTGTCTGGAGTTACAGTAGAGGAAAAACTGAAGACATCACCAATGAGCTAATGTAAAAAAGACACACGTTATTCTTGAAGGTACAAATGGAAGTGCCAGTTCTCAGACAGTGGCGATATTTATTCTGCTCTAATCCACCCTTGTGAGTGCTCAGGGGTGCACTGCATCTAGCTAAGGGTGCCACGATTTAAGAACAAGGCAGATAAACTGGATGGGCTCCAGGAAAGAACAACCAAAACAAGAGATTTAAAGAACACGACCTCTGAGGAAAAACTGAGAGCGTTGGGTTCAATTTAGAGAAGGAAAGGGATGTAATACAGTAAGCCTTCAAATGTACAAAAGGTTGTTATTCTCTGCCCACAGGGGGAGAATGAGAAATAATCCACTTAATTTTCAGCAAGGGAGGCTTCAGTCAGACGAATGCCCTAGCTATAAGGAATTAAGCAACAGAACAAGTTACCTATGGAGGACGCTGAATCCCCATCACCGGAGGTTTTTAAGAAGAGACTAGAAAAGCATCTGTGAAGGATGCTCCTGATATACTGGATCCTGCCCTGGAACAGATGGACGAACGGGAGGATCCCTTTGGGTCCCTTCCACCGCCACGTTTGTGTGATCTCCCTACACTTCCAGCTTCGCAGAGCTCAGACAAAACCCGCCCATAGGAACAACCATCATTCTTGGCAAGACCAAGCTACCTGCCTTGTTCTTTAATACCCTGGCTCGACGGCCCGTGAACTCCAGGAGGTGGAGCCGACAGGTACTTATGGGAGACAGAGACCCTGTCACATCTGATAAGCCTCCTAGGCCATCTGGCTGTGTCGCTTGGCACATAAGCTCGACGAGACACCGTCAGTCATCATCCACTGGCGTGAAAGACCGGAGCAGGGGAAGTGGGTCACTGGTGCCCACGCCCGCCAAACACAAGCAGCCGAGCTCCGCCCTGCTCGGCCCCGCCGTCCCACGTAAGCGGGACTCGTTTCCAGACCAGGGGACTGAGATCTCCTGAGCTGCACCTCAGAGCCTGGCCTCCAACAACCAATTTGGGCCGAATGCCGGGCTACCAAAGGAGTAGGCAGGGACCGGCCGCCCCACAGAGCCCGTGGGGGCCGCCCCGATAGCCCGCTCCACGCCTGTGCGGGGGGCAAACAGGCCCCCGGCCTCGGGGACGCGGGGCCACATGATGGCCCAGCCACGCTGAGGGGTTGCCGGGGGCCTGGAGGTCTTGAAGGCCTCATCTTTCCCCTGGCACCGTCCGCTCGCGCCGCCGCCTCGCCCGCCCTTTAAAGCCGCGGTCGGTCCCTACCCGGGGTGCCCAGCCCGGACCGAGGGGGTGCTACCGCTGGCAGCCGCACGCGGGGGGAAGGGGCCAGGGCGCGCGCGCCTCCCCCGTTCCGTTCAGTGCTCCCGAGCGGCGCTCTAGCCTCCCGCCGCTTCTCGGTGATACAGCGGCTGCGAAGCAACTACAGCTCCCAGAATGCAACGGAGGGGTGGGAACTGTGCGGGGGGGTGT